ATAGAAATGAAAGTGGCTAACAATGAAGATTTTGCTGATTCAATAGAAGAGTAGAAATACTTTTAATTCTGGCCCTGCTGGGTGTTGCTAATGCAGAGCCAGAAAGAATTTCCTATATTCTTATTTTTTCTTTGTATCTCTTTGTGAGCCATCAAACAGGCACAACTTGATATAGAAATTTACTAAATTTCATTCAAAGACATCATCTACTTTTTTCTATTTAGTTATATATATTGTTTTCAAATATTAGAACTTCCCTTTATGTAATTAATAATTGTATATGCATAATAAAATAAGCAATGCCACGAAAGCTACACATTTAATATATATTCCCTGTACCTATCAAGGAGAGCATGAAATCCAGCAGGCCATAGTTGCTCTATGAATTCTTTTAACTTTCTGCCTGAAGATAACATTTATTTTAATCATTGAATACCCCTGTGTCTAGAGAATTACATAACTAATAATCAGCTCTGTGTTTTGATTCCTTTATGTCTAGACATCTGTCTGTGAGGCACTTGTCATTTCTCTGCTGAGAATTACATTACTTCCATATAGAGTTTCCTTGATTGTAAACTCTTGTTCCACAAAATCCAGAATAAAACTTGGTGACATTAGAATTTGTCTCTAATCTCTGGCATACTGGTTTTAATGCTTCTATTGTTGGACTATTTCACAAATATAGCACATATTTTTACTTACCTTGGACTCATGCAAATCTCTGCAATATAAAGGGAAAATTATTCCATATCACACAAACTAGTTTTGACATGTTTTTCATAGTTATGTTTGATCTGGTTTTATGTAGAATTTTTCCAGGGTTTTAATTGCCATTGTTTTTTCAAATATGCAAATGTTTCTGCAAATGCATATCTGTGTGGATTGTGTGGGGTGTCTTTTGGGATTGAGGACATGTCAAAGGAAATTTTAATCAAGTCCTAAAGAATACTACAAAAGAAAGATTTTTAAGCTGCTATTATCATTTCTCTTCTTTTCTCAAAGTTCCATAAACTTTGACAAAATTTAACGATATTATATAAAAAAATCAAAAATAATATACACTGAACTAAGGTTAAATAGGTCAAATTTTTATTTGCCAAAGTTCCCTCTAGGATTCACCTTCCAGCCTGTTGCATGATGGAAACACACACACACACACACACACACACACACACAATCTGTCAAGTAAATGCCTAGAAGAATTTGATAAAATAAAATATTTTGCTCAGAATGTGATTATAAATCTACTAATTAAGAAAAGTTATGGCTTAAATGCATAACTGAATGGATTTAGTCTATTTATAAGGAAGTTATAATTACTAAAGTTTACCATAACTAAGATTACTGAAGGAGTATTATAATCAGCTATGAACATGGACTACACAGGTACACTAAACCCTGGTGTTTTCAGGAAACTCATGTGATTCAAGCAACATAGATGGACCTGTCAGGGATTATGCTCAGTGAAAATAGCCAGAAATAAAAAGAAAAATATTGGATGTTTTCACATATAGGAAGAACGTAAGAGAACCAAATAAGGGGTCTTGGAAAAAAAATAATGAATTAAAAATAAAATTAACGTGCAAATTGTGAATCGGAGACACTCTGTAGTAGAGGGGGCAGGAGAGGAATCAAAGCAGGGAGGAACAGAACACAAGAGATGATGGTGATGATGCACAGGTGAATGGGTGGTGGGAAATTTATGCACTTCTGAGAGGGGAAAGCATAGGGTATACAAAAATAAAGAATGCTGTAAAATATATATAAAATTTAAAATAAAAATAAGTTGTCAGAGGTAAGCAAGATGCAAATAAAATTGAAATATTAAATGGCAGCACACCAAATTTCTTAAAAAGTTAAGAGAAAATATTATTTCTGGCTTAGTGATGTGATATCTCTTTGTGGAAAACATGGCTCTGAGATCAGCTTCGGAAAGAAGATTGATGTTAAACAGACGAGTGTTCCTATGGAGGGAGTCGCAAACAAATGGGAGAACAGAAAGACTTGCTTAGGAATCAGCTTGGCTGGGATTCATGGCATGGAGCTAGAAAAAAGCTGAAAATAAAGATGTGACCAAATACAGAGTTTAAAGGATATGAAAGAAATTTCTATGTATCTGTAATTTTTTAGAAAAGTAATATCAGACAATCTATTAAAAAACACAAACATTCTTTTTACTTAGAGAACATTATAAAAATACTATGTAGAGGCCCTCCCTGGTGGCGTAGCGGGTTAAAGCTCTGCACTGAGAGACTGAGGCCACTTCCGCATGAGTTCAATTCCCGCCTGCCCCGGAGGTGACCACATGGCGAGGCAGACCTCTCCTGGCTCGCCTGCTGCTCCCCTCAGCAGTGTACTTCGTCGATCTGCCTGTTCTGCTCCCCACTCTGTCTCTGGTGAGGCCTCTCGCCGCCCCTGAGCCTCTGGCCTGTACCCCAGTTCTGTATGTACAAATAAAAAATAAAATCTTAAAAAAAAAAATACCATCTAGATTAGCTGCAGATCATTTCTTATCATATGGACCAGAGCTATAGTTTTTCTTACCAGATTATAAATTATATATGAAAAAGAAATTCAGATTGCTTGAATATCAAATATATCATTGAGAAATTTTAATTCAATGGGATGTGGCATGCTTTATTTTATTCTATAGCTTAATTAATGGATTGGTTGATTATAATTAATTAATATAAGTAATCAACTAATTTAATTATATTTTACATCATTGTTCATTTTTAAACAATGTATACTTCACCCCCGTCAAGTATAGACCCCATAGAATTTCCTCCCCCAATTCGTCCATGCATCATCACCATGGTCCCCTGTGTTCCTCCCACCTTCTGTCCCTTCCCTGGTGTTGCTTCTGACCCCACTCCCTCACCTTCCCTTGCAGGCTGTCTCTGGCTTACCTGGCTTTTTATTATTATTATTATTATTTCCCCTGTATTTTACTTTCTTCCCCTTTATTCCACCTTGAAGTGAAACCATCTGGTATTTTTCTTTTTCTTTCAGACTTATTTCACTGAACATGATGCCTTCTAGCTTCATGATTTGTTAAAGATTTATTTATTTATGCACACAAGAACTGGGGTGCAGGTCATAGATGATGGGGTGAGGGGATTCACTAGAGAGAGAATGGGGAGCAGAACAGGCAGACTGATGAAGTACACTGCTGAGGGGAGCAGTGGGCCCCAGGAGAGGTCTGCTACACCATGTGGGTCAGCTCCCTGGCCAGGGGTTGAACTCAGGCTGCAGTGACTATTTACAGCTTCATAGTGCTTTGCTTTAACCCATTGTGCCACCAGGGAGGGCTCTTTCCATGCTTTCTTAAGGGGCATTTATAATGCAGTAGGATTTAAAAGGCCATTAACAAGCAGAGTACTTGGGGACATGTAAATAATTAACTTTAACTAAGCTATGCCTTGGGAGGAAGCAAATATATCTTTAGGATATAAATTTTACCTAAAATTTTACTTAGCATTTGAGCTTAAGATCCCTCAGGAGTAATGTGGTGATATAAATATACAGTCTGTATTTGGACAGCTCATTTGAAACTTTTGAAGGAATAAAGTAACTCTCCTGCCTACAAACCTTTTATTTCCTTTGGAATGACCGTCTAGCATTTATTTCACCTAGTAGTATGGCATTTAGTGCTAAAATGGTATGAAAATTGTAATTTTAATATATAAATTGATGGAAATTAAAAACCCAAACTTGTCTGTAGCACTCACTCTGCTGAGAAAATTCCAAGTCAAAGCCTTAAAGAAAATAATTCTAATACAGAATAAATGTTGTTTCAAGGAAGAGAGAACAGAAAAAGTTATAAAAGAAGAATAGCTAAAGAGTAAGTACAGAGGAAAACATGTAAGTTATTTATTGATCTTTTACCATAATCCTGCATAAATATATAGTATGTGTTGAAAAATTCTTTTAACAGCTGTAATAAGAAAATGCAGTCATTAGCAATTAAGTTTAAAATAGACTTATGTGAATTCTATAATCTAAGATATTATTGAACTAGAGAGCACAAGATTGTAAGAGGATCTGTTTGCTTACTGAGGGTGAGATAACATATCTGGAAGAATAATATCAAAATCATTGACAACTATTGCCTAATTTATTGAATGGCAGCATATAAAAAAGAGACACACTATTACAACTCTAGGGAAGTCCTAAAATATGCCAAGAAGAAGATAATTTTAATTCTGTAGAGATACTAAGATTGAGGTAATTGAGACTCAATCCTTCATTTTATGGAAAGGAAATTTAGAAGTCCAGAGAATACAAGATCACAAAAGTGAAAGGTGGAAGTTCTGGTTATTCCTCCAAATAATCTTTCTCCTATTTTTCTTACATGACCACCAGCTAATCAAATGCATTATCACCACTCATACTTGGCTTCCACTGAAGCATGTCAGTCACACTTGTTCCTTTCTAGGGCTGGTATATGTACATCGGGACCATGGGTTGATTCCGTTTGTGGTGTTTCATAGACTTTAGCCTGAGTTATATTTTAGAAAATTCAGATCATATAACATTTGCCTCTAGATTTACCTATGTTTCATTATTCTGCTATTTCTCTCAAATGTGGATTTAGGTAATTTGTATCTCATTAATAAGAAAAGTCTCTTTTAATATTTGCTTGTACTTCATTAAAAATAGCTATTTTCCTTAATTATTTGTATATTACTATTTGAGTCATGGGGGTAAGAGTCATAACTTTTGCCAGAAAGCATTTTTATTAAAATTAACCTTTGGATATGAATATTTACTAAAGGATTATTTTGTGGATTGGGCAAAGGTATTTATGTCTACTAAGGCAGGCAGGGATCTCAATTGGCTGGAAAAGTTAGTAGAAATCACTAAGTGTGTGCTCCTATGGAGTCATATCACATCAAGTTAGTAATTCAAACAGAATAGTCTCATTACTCTTATTGCTCAATATGGATTTGTGACTTATATCATTTCAGGTGATTCATGTATTTTATCTACACTGAGCCATGGAAAATAGGAATAATGTCACTGTGTTTATTCTCTTGGGACTTTCCCACAGCAAGAATATTGAAATCACCTGCTTTGTCTTATTTTTATTTTGCTACATAGCAATTTGGATGGGTAATATGCTTATAATGATTTCAATCACATGCAGCCAGCTAATTGAACAACCCATGTATTTCTTCCTAAACTACCTCTCACTCTCTGACCTTTGCTACACTTCCACTGTGACGCCCAAACTAATGACTGATTTACTAGCCGAAAGGAAGTCCATTTCCTATAGTAACTGCATGATACAGCTCTTTACCACCCACTTATTTGGAGGGATCGAGATCTTTATCCTCACTGGGATGGCCTACGATCGCTACGTGGCTGTCTGCAAGCCCCTTCACTATACCACCATCATGAGCCGGCAGAGGTGCAACGCGATCATCGTAGCCTGCTGCACAGGGGGATTTATACACTCTGCCAGTCAGTTTCTCCTCACCATTTTCTTACCATTCTGTGGTCCCAATGAGATCGATCACTACTTCTGTGACGTGTATCCTTTGCTGAAATTGGCTTGTTCTAATACACATATCATAGGTCTCTTAGTCATTGCTAATTCAGGCTTAATTGCTTTGGTAACTTTTGTGGTCTTGATGCTGTCTTATTTCTTCATATTGTACACCATCAGGGCATTTTCTGCCGAGAGCCGCAGCAAAGCTCTTTCCACTTGCACTTCTCATGTGACGGTTGTAGTTCTATTTTTTGCACCTGCTTTGTTCATTTACATTAGACCTGCCACAACTTTCCCAGAAGACAAAGTATTTGCTTTGTTTTACACCATTATTGCCCCCATGTTCAATCCTCTGATTTACACGCTCAGGAATGCAGAGATGAAGAGTGCCTTGAAGAAAGTGTGGTGTCGTCACCTTCCCTTGGAAGGAAAGTAAGGTTTGCTGTCCAGAGTGTTTTACTAAATGTGCCTGTGAATCACATCCATTTTCATCCTTTCCTGGCCTCACTGCTGGAAGAGATGAGTAAAGCAGAAGTATAAACCCTCTGAAGTTTACTCTGTCTACACTGCAGGAGTATAAACCCTCTGCTGTTAATGTCTACAATGCCTCCTCAGTAGAACATTATTCTCTTCATACATCCATCATCTGACTTTATCCTTAAAAACTGTGCTTGCACCTTACACAATTTGAATTTACTAGACAATGTCTTTAACATAAAGGATTCTATCACCTGCTTGCCATCATATTGCAGATCCCTTCATTCATTTTTCCCACATCAAAACCCTAAAGAGGTGGATAAGATAGAGCTCTCTGTTTTTAAGCTTTCTACTCAATTCTGAAGACAGAAAATTGTATATATCACACACGTAGTATGCATGAATTACCACGAACTGAGAAATACTGTGGAATCCGCAAATATTAGCAGTCAGAAATTACCAGTATAACCAGTGACCTTCTCTTTATACACACCACCTTCCAAAGGCAAGCGTACTCTTAATCTAAAAAAAAAAAAAGAATTGATCTTACATACTTTTGTATGGATTGTACTTTTCAGTGTCTGTGTTCTTGTTTTGATACTTAGCAGCTTCATTCCTCATATTTTGTGTATTTTGTGGTTATTTTCATTGATATGTAGTTTCTCATTTTATAAATATTAGATAATTGAATTACTAATTCTTGATAACCTCTCATTTTATAAATATTAGATAACTGAATTACTAATTCTTGATAACTAGACATTCAGATAATTCATTTAGCGCTTTTATAAGTAGTGTCTTGCCAAGGATTTGGGAAACTGTGTTTTGGTAAATATGTGTATTATATTGCTTTGTTAACATGCTTATATTGTATTAAGATTTATAAATTTGAGATATTATTTGTGGACTGTGTTATTACCCTTCCAAAAATCTTATTGACATAAAAAGCATGCAATACAAATAATTATTAATAGCAATACACTAAAATGAATGAACCAAAATGTTTGGAAACATGTGATATGTGAAGCTTTACACACTTCTAGAATCCATCTAGTTAAACCAAACTAGTAATCAAAGGTGAGTAGAATAAAGCAGTAAGATAGCTTACACCACAGAGAGCAGAATAACTCTAAGAAACAGTGTACAGATTATGTTTGTGATATTAACAGATAAGTAATCACTATTGGTAATGTTAATATATATAGACTATTCTTGGGAATATATATAGTTGCTTGCCATAACAAGAAAAACTGGTAAGTTCCCTTATTTAGCTCCCAGAAAGCAAGTGAATGAATGAATGAATATTAAAAATAATATTTTTCAGAGACTTCTATTCCTGGCAAATTGGAATAAACATGCTTGTATAGAAAGTCAAAAATAAGGAAAATATTCAGTCTTTACAAAAGCATACTATTACACAGCAAATATATAAGGAATATATAAGGAGCATATTTGGAAACAGCTATTGCAAGTGTGTCACACAATGTCAGTCAGGATTGCATTTTTCAGATACAAACTATAATAGCCGTGTGCTTGTCAAATATATTTTTTTAATTATAAAGCATAATATAGTAACACAAGTCTCAGAAATGTGCAGGACATTAATAAACAAATGAAATGATCTAAGAGGTAAGAAATAATTTAATGAGAAATTCAAACAAAACAGACAAGCTATATTTAAAAAATAAAAAGATTATACCAATGGAATTTTAGACATTAAAATACTGTAACATAGATTTAGAAAGGTACAGCAATGAAAAAAAATTAGACAACATGAGTGATGCCAGAAATAAAAGAGCTACATGTGTTTGTTAGACTCTAAGATTTGGGTAATAGTGAAAAAAATAGTTGAAGTGATTATTACTGATAATTTTCCAGATTTGCTGGAAATGTATTTGAAAGAAATAGACAGTTATTCCTGAAAAATCATAGACACAACACTGCAATTTATAACTTAAATTATAGAAAGAGTAGACGACAGAAGAAAATGGATTTAGTGAATATACTAAAAGAAAAACTCACTACTGAATTCTATAATTTGATATATTTTTTTCAAGAGCAAGAATAAAATGAAGAATTTTCAATAAAAATAAAGAAAATAAAACAACTATAAAAACCAACCTCACTAACATAAGTTGTAAAGAATGTTTTCATTAAAAGGAAAAATGTTATTAAAAAGGAAGATAAGACATTTTAGATGGAATATTAAAAGGAAAGTGATAATCGTTATATGTAAAGCTAAAAATTGTATTAAAAATTACAATCTTCCCTAATATATCAGCCAAACTATAGGAAGGGAGTAAAAATCATGGTCCATAGCAAATTGCCTGAAGCCAGTACTGCACCACACTTAATGGAGACCCAGGCATGGACTAATGCACCACGCGTGTCATAAGACTCAATTCTTCTAGCTGCCCAATTCCATCAGGCTTTTTCTGAAGGGGACTGCCTTTCATATGATCGGGAAGAAAAATTAGCTATCACCTCTAAGGACAAATATAACCAATATTAATAATATATTAAGTTTTTTCATGACTTATTGAAAGTTTTTGTGATAATAATTTATATTAGTATAGTTGAACATGCAATTAACTCGCCATAAGGAAAATTCAAGAAATGTATACCAAAGTTCATTCTTACTGGCCATATTTAGCTCTGATTATTTATCTCTAATTCAAACACACAAATATTTTTCTTACTTTTATTTTTTCCACAGTTACATTCCCTTTTTGGTAAAAAGCCTTCTGATGACACCAAAGGAAGCCAATCTTTATAATTGTTTATTGCCCACACACCACTCGAGTTCCATAGTTCCATAGTTCCAGCGAAAGTTTCAGCAGCAGCCCCGGGACCAGCAGACAGCTGTGTCAAAGCGCTGCTGTTTTTAGATTTGGGGAGACGGTGAAAGTGTAACAGGAAAGAAGAGAATGAAAACCCACAGGTGGATTCTGGGCTTCTTCTGGGACACTGGGGGCCCTTTTCTCCATGATGGAGAGATGGGGAGAAAAAAATCAAGGAAAGATACTGAGCCTGAGATGTTTTAAGAAAGTAAAGAAGGAAATTGGAAAACACACACACACACACACACACACACACATCGATGCAATTTATGAAAATAAGTAAAATGGGTGTTTTTTGTGAAAAACATGAAAAATATTTAGTTCAAACAGATCAAATTATAACAATTACCATTTTTTTCCCCAAACAACTTACAGTTTCACCCTCTTAATAAATATTTTTTTTTCCAGAGATAGGAATAGCCAAGCTACGTGATTTTCAATGTTATTCTACTGTGGCTGCCCCAGTACAACCAAATTATTCCCTTCTTCTTCATTAGCATCCTTTCTTTATCCACACCCCACCCTAAGCCTTGCTTTCTTTATAAGTACAATCAATGCTACCTTAGTTCTAGGCTCATACATTATTTTTTAAATTAAATCTTATGAATTTCCAGTAATGAATGAGAATTATAAAGAATATTCTTTTCCCAATTTAGAACAATGGTCTAGGGGTGCAAAGTCTCCATTATTTGGAAGGTGCTTGCGCAAAGACACATGGCGGCCAAGGCAGTGCTAACTTCACGCATGCGCACCAAGGGATGCCCACTTACACGGCAGGTCCCTGGTCGTTCTTCAGCATTTGGCAGTCTTCACAAACTTTCTGTGTAATGGTCCTAATAACAACTGCAGCAATAATATTAATAAATGAATTTCTCACTTTTTTTGGTATTGGGGTTGAGATTTGTTTGTTTTATTCTATTCAAACGTTATTGATTTGCCATTTATTTGTATAACTATATAATTTGGGGAGTCCAAATTCATGCCTCAATAGGTGTGCAAGCTTCACCAGCAGTCACCAAAGGTCCAGTGCCCGCGTCCTATCACATTCCTGCCCTGCCCCCTCCTCCAGGACCATGCCCAATGATAACCATCATTATTTTCACGGACTCTAAAGGGTCGTTTTTTCTTTTTGACACTTTGATTTCTTGACATATATAATCCACCTATGAGTGAAAACATCTGATAGCTGTCTCTCGCTTTCTGCCTTTTTTTTATTATTATTATTACAATTGTCTTAAGACCTATTTATATCCTCCAAGGCATTATTTTATTTATTTATTTATGTTTTGGTTTTCATTTTCTATTTATTTTAGGGATTGAGGTGAGAGGGGATCTTTAGATTGGAAGTTAGCCCAAAAAGTGTTCTGCTCACTTTCAAACAATTTGTTCTTCTGTAAACTACATAATTTATGATTTCTCAACGTTAAGAAAAGGTGAGTTTTTGTTTATGCTCAAACTTCTCTGAGTATAGAGGGTTAATTTACTGTGTCATAAATATTTTTTTTAAGGACTTGGTAGGAATTAAGCTATTTCCAGCTGTAGGTTGGGTACCTTTTCTTTGGGGAAATGTCTCATCCCATACTAAATGTGAGGGGGAGGTTTGGGGTTATAATGTCTCAGGTAGTCTACTTTAAATGCCACTTGGAAATTAAACAGAAAACATCTATGTACATTTCTATCCCATGACGATATACAATTTTTGGCTAGAAAGCAAACAAAAACATTTTCAATGTAAACGCCAATGCTTTTATTTCCTTTTAGATTAAAAAATCAGAAGAGACTGCTACTATCAGGAAAACAGAGAAGTTCTAGAATCACGTCTCACATAATGGACTGTATGGTGAAATACATGAATCTTTAGCATTGAATTTTACACCTAGACTGCATTCAAAATACTGAGTCCCACTTTTTATGCAGAGATAAAGAAATTTATCTCATGAGATTATCATCGGTAAGTAAATATCCACTCAATCTATAATAAAAAATTGCTTTTACAGAAAAAAATGAGTTTCCATACATACAATGTTTTACCTATATATATGGTGATTTTACATATGCATTTTTGCCTAATTTACAGCAAGCTTGCAAACATTTAATGTAGCAACTTATGTAACTTAGT